GGAGTTTGATGAAGTGGGTAAAATAGGAGAGGAAGAATGCAAATGGGAAGGTGATGGGTTTGGAGAGAATGAGGGAGGAGATTGGATGGGGTTAAGAGGTAAGGCTGAGTGGGGTGAAGAAAGAATAGGCGAGACTATAGGAGAGTGTGAATTCGATGAAAACATATTATTGCTAGGAGGAGAGAAAATTATGGGGGAAATAGATTGCTCACTCAACGACAAAGATTTTGAAAAGGTTAGGGGAATGAGTGAGGTAAGAGACTTGCCCACTGTCATAGGAAATAAACTTTCGTCAAACACAAACATTCCTAGAGATATGTACTCTGCGAGAAAGTGGATCAAAACATCTATATCCTTTATGTGAAGAACTATATCCAAGGAAAAGACACTATTTACTACGAAACATGAGTTTTCGAGAATTATATGGTCTAAGAAGAGGATAACAAGCACACTCGAAAGACTTAAGAAATGAATAATCTGGATGTGTGGCATATAATTTAAAAAATGGAGACATATTAGATAAAACAGGGGATGGTAAATGATTAATTAAATAGGTGGATGTGAGAAAGGCATCAACCCAAAACTCCATTGGCAAACCAGACTCAGCTAAAAGAGATAAGCCGAGTTCCACAATGTGCCGATGTTTACGTTCGGGCAGGCCATTTTGTTGTGAAGTGTGAGGACAACTTTGGCATTGATGAATTCCATTTTTTGATAGAAACTGTTTAAATGGAATTAAGATGTATTCTCCACCATTATCAAATTGAAGTTGTTTAATTTTAGTTGAAAATTGGTTTTCAACTAAAAGCTTGAATTTGGTAAAGCAAAAGAACACATCGGCTTTGGATTGCAATGGGTACATCCAAGTGAATCTTGAAAAGTCATCAACAAATATAACATAAAACAAACATCCACCAATAGATTTTGTAGAGCAAGACCATACATCAGTGTGAATGAGTTCAAGAGGAAAATTTGAAATCCTAGTAGAGGCTACAAATGGTTGTTGCTTACCCTTGCCAAGCTGACAAGGAGCACAAACACCAAAATTATTCAATGATCCAGAAACAAGAAGATAATTTTCCCGAATGACCTTCGAAACTATAGAATGAGACGGATGACCTAGTCTTGAATGCCAAACAGAGACCGAGACCTTGACACCTAGAAGAGCTATAAGATTGTTGTGTTTGACAGACGCTGATTTCCGTAGGTGTATGGGATATAGTTCACCTTCACTCTAACATTTTAGTAACATCTTGCCCGTCTGCATGTCATGAACAAAATAATTGGATCTAGTTAAAATAAAGAAACAGTTGTTATCAATGAAAAATTGATTAATGGACAAAAGGTTAGTGAGAGCTTTGGGACAGTGGAAAACACGAGATAGGTGAAGAGAATGAGAAGGAGATGAAATAAGAATTGAACCAATGTTAGCGATTTCCAAGCCAGTGCCATTACCAACGGCAACATTTTCACCCCCAATATAAGGTTGCGTAAGAGAGAGCTGTTTGAGGCTTGTTGCAATGTGTTGGTTAGCACCACTATCTACATACCATGTTTCTCCACCATTAACACCGGTCATTTTGGCCATCAATGTTGTATTACCTTGAGCTACCATTGCAGTAAGTGTTTGAGGAGGATGGCGACCTTGGTAGGCAAAATCAAATCGATGATCGCAGTCCAATCCCTTGTGATTGAGTTTCCCACAGATTTGATAGCTTTCACATGTTCCAGTGGGTGTTTGTGCTTGGTGGGTTAGAGGCTGAGAAGAAGCAGGACTTGCTGGTGAGGAAGAAGTCTTATAGGAAGTCTTTGGATTGGCTTGATTGCGCTGAAATTGATGAGTTGATTGCTTAGAAAATAAAGCAAAAGAGCTTTCTGGTACAATAGTTCGTTGATGAGATTCAAGAAGTATCTCAAAGGAAATTAACTCAGCCTAAAAATCCTCAAACAATATACTCTTGTCTCGAGTGGCAATATTAATGGAGTTCTGGAATGGAATAAATGATGAATTCAAGCCACTCAACAGAGTTGACACAACATCATCTTCATCAAAATTCTTTCCAGCAGATGCAAGTTGGTCGACAAGATTTTTTGCAAGTGCCAAATATTCAAAACAGGTACGATTCTCTTGACGCAAACTACGTAATTGACGTTGTACAAGATTGATTCTAGAACGTAATTGGGAAGCAAATCTTGTGGAAAGTGATGACCAAACTTGTTTGACAGTGGTAAGTCCACAGACGGTTGACAGAACTTTTGGAGTTAGTGTTGCATTGATCCATCAAAGAACAAATTGATCTTTCTTATTCCATACAAGATACTGAGGATTGACATTACCAATGGTTTGGCCATTCTCAGCAGGGAGATAATGATCTGGGCACGGTTCAGAGCCATCCACGAAACCCATCAGATCATTAGACTTTAACACAAGAATGAATTGGGAAATCCATTGGAGATAGTTTTCTCTATCAAGCTTAACTGAAATGAGCTGCCCAATATTGGGGGCAATGAAGGCAAGTGCGGAAGCAGTATCATTTGAGAGAGCCATTGAAGAGGTGCAAGAATCAGTGATGAGCTGTTGGCTTAAATGGCTCTGATACCATGAAAGAATATAAGAAAGCTTTTTATGTATTTTTCATAATCAAAACGTTACATCTCTGTAGTATATATGTTGATACAAAAGAAGATTAGTTTTCAAATGACCTTATCATGAAGTTTGAGATAACTAGATTACAAATAAAACAAATAGATCTTATCAGGCTTATCAGAAAGTTGCAATGCTAGTTTTCATGCTTATTAGGTAGAGAAGAGTTGGAGTTGGAGTGTATCCGGTTGCTTGCAAAGGCACGTTTCCAAATGCAAGTTTTATTAGATCATTCCTGTAATTGATCACGACATTAGAAGTTGTAAAAAAGGTTTGCATAACATGACAAGAATCTGAAATAGAATTAGCAACGGGGTGAGTATCGAGTACAATGAAATCAACGGAAAAATAAAATTTGTCCAATGTCGTCTGGAAACTACCATTAAGATACTTGGAAAGTTCATAAATCACATAGAAATTTTAAATGGTAAAAGATGTTCGAATTATCTTATGTGCATCTCGATTAATTTTATTATTGGTTTAGTCAAAGAGAGACAATTTACGCTAAAATTAAAGTATTCATGAAAAATAAATTTTTCGTGCATTGACCCCGAAGAGTTATCAAGAATCAAACTTAAGACGTCTAAATTTATAATTCGTCCATTTTATCACTTAGGTCAACTCTTTACGGTTTTGCGTGGCATTTATCAAACAATTCAACAACAATATTGTCAAACTTAGCTTTAAGAAAAAATTTCACTTTTAAGAAATTTGAAAATTTAATGTAAGTATCTAGTACATAAGAGTCTTTTGATCGGTAGTTGACCATAATATTAAATAAAATTTATTATAAATCCAACAAGTCCGTCCCTATATTTAACTTTGAACATAATATTTTTAAAAAATACTAGATAATTCAAATAAAACTCAAAAAATACAATTTAAATATATATCATATCTTAGATGACCGATAGATGAGTGAGTCCTACTAAAAAAATTAATAAGACCTACTTATGTAAGATATGGTATACATTTGAGTGATTATTTTTTAAATTTTATTTAAATTTTATAAAATTACTCAATATTTTTTATTCAGGACAGCCTCAGTTGATTGTTTGATTAACTTCCAAGTGGCTATTACGTGATGCTCTTCATTGAGTGTGGCCCCCACTGCAAACCTCAGCACGTAGATCCCACTGACTATGGTGTGAGTAAGGGTATCAGACGAATCAGGTTAAATAAGTGACGGGTAAAAATTTTCAACATGAATATGATGCGTTTAATAAAAAGGTAACAAGATATAACTCATTTAATTTGTTTAATTTAAACAAAATTATATTAATAAATTTTAATATTCTCTTTTTCACTTAATTTTTTTACTACCAGTTGTATTTACCTCAAAAGAGAGAAATGTGTAATCAAATCTCACATAAAAATTAAACTTGAAGGCTTAAAAAAAAAAAAAGAACAGAGGTCACTACTTTTTATAGGTAAATCAATCATCTTCATATCTTCTTATTTGTCGATGTGGGACAAAAACAAAAGGCATTGGTTTGCCTTTATCTTTGAATTGTTCCTCATCTCTCCATCTCTCATCATTTATCTTTGAACTACTACTTTACTTTTTTTTTTTGTATTGAATTTTTTACTTCTTTTTTTATGGCTATTTTTTTAAAATAATTATTATTTTATTATTATATTAATTTTATTTAAACGGTTAAACGTGTGATAAACGGTTTGACAGGTCTCATCCGAAAATGATCTGTTTATTAAATGTGTCTGACAGGTCAACCCGTTTATCATCCAAATCTGTTAAAATCTCACTTAATTCCGCTTAATTCGTTTCGTATTAAATTTTGACAGGCTAGTGAGAGTCATGTAGACTCAACCGATTGAGTTGACCCACTCGAGTAGTTTCTGATTCAACAACTCAATATAACATGAGTCAGATTTGGGATACGGATTCAACCAGAAGCATACTAGTGAGAAGAGTCGTGGCAGTGGCGCACAAATCTCGAACCATGTGTCGGATTTCACTAAGCCTTCAAACATCTTGGCCATTTGGACATTAGAACTAATGTGGGTCTAGAGATTCGCAATACCATAGCTACGTAGTACGAGCCACAATCAGAGTGCTCTAAATCTACGACCCGAACCCACCTACCAATCCTTATAATCCACCACCGAGTCAGACTCACTGGGTTTGTTTCTCAAGTACTTCAAATTCGTACTCAATGATTTCACCAGCAAATTTGGTTGCTTGATCCACAAGTTACAACAGTCCAAGTAACTAAGCAACCACTTGTGGGGACTCAAACTCAGTGAGTCAGCTCATTCAATACTGATGGACACTTCTGAGATTCAACCATGGACTGACACGTGTTCTCGGCACCAACAGTCACCAGGAGTTGGGGTGTTACCACATATCCTCTGCACCGAGGGTCACCAGGAGCTGGAATGTTGCCACATATCCTCGACACGAAGGATCACCAAGAGCGGGGCTGCTACCACATGTCCTCCACACCGAGAGGCAACAGGAGTTGGGATGCCACCACGTGTCCTTGGCACCAAGGATCGCCAAGAGCAGGGTTGATGCCACGTGTCCTCGACACCTAGAGTCAACAGGAGTTGGGATGTTGCCACGTGTCCTCGGTACCAAGAGTCACTAGGGGCTAAGATGCTGCCACGTGTCGTCGACACTAATGACATCTCCATTTCGCATGCCACGACATGTTTACTCGGATCCAAATTATCGAGACGTGGGAGGGTAACTGACAACTTTCATCACTTGAGATCGTAGCTGTCTATTCATCATTAATTTGCTTTCTCAAAGGAGTTAGAATGAGGGAAAGGACAAGACTAGCAGCCAAAGGAAATGGAATATGTGGCATAAAATGCAGAATTGAGTGTCAATGGACCAAAAGGTCCTTGCTGACGTGCCTTTATTCTGGAAAGGCATTTAATAATTTTCTAGAGATGGGACGTCCATGATGGCTTGGGAAGCGTAGAAGAAAGAACATTAAATGTTCGGGAGCTCGAGCATTTAATGCATGTGCTTAGAAGGAAGAGCGTTAAATGTTCGGGAACTCGAGCAATTCATAACAGAGCCTCCCCCACGCAAACTAAGAGGTGTTCAGTCCAATGACTGCACACTACTTACTGCCTCTCAAATGGATCAATGGGAGACCTCCTCGTGACATGACCCAGCTGTCAATAATGATGACCTTATAAAAGTATAAATAGTTACAAAAAAATTGAAAACAAAGGTATGTAAATCCAATTCTCAGAACATACACAGTACTTTTCATTTCTGTCTCTCACAGAAACTGACTTGATCGTCCAAGAGGATACACCAAAAAACACTACTGCACCTTTCTAACTCTTCTTTTGAGTGTTAAGGAGCGCCTTTGGCTAGCCAAAATCAATCGAACAGTTGGAAAACTAATTCATCACCACTCCTTAGACATATTTGGTCTCTCTTTGTCATGGGATCGTCGACTTTTGAGGTAAACACGAGTTTACTAAGGGAGAGAACTGTCTTTTTATTTATTGTGCGAAAATCACTGCACACAAATATCATCCAAATGGTCCCGAAACTCGGATATATACCTGCGTTGCCTCCATAAGCTGCGTCTACGTGAAGCCTCACCCCATAATCGTTTGCAAGGTTTCCAATTTGAGTCAAATGATGAACGACAGTCGTTGACGGGGTCCCCAAAGGTAAAGTGGGACCAACCCATCTGACACGTCAGCCTCTATAACCCTCCCGACGACTACCGGGGAGAGAGAAAAATCAGTATCAACTGTTGTGGGGACTGACCTGATGTTGCATGGAAATGTACCAGCTAACTTCCAAGCCTTCGTGAACGTAGAATGAGTCTGATCGGAGCCGTAGACGATGAGCTTTCTGATGTTATGAACTCCGACGATCCTGAGTGCCTGATCTCTGGCAGCAATGAGGGTGCAGAGGATTGATTCACTGGTGGTGCCTTGGAGAACACCACCACTAGTGCCTGAAAACATGAAGGAACTTGGAAGCTTGAGCTTGTTGGCCAACCAATCAATCACAACCATTTCGAGCTCGGTAGACTCCGACGAGGCAAGCCAGTTGAAGCCCACTAAGTTGAAACAAGTACATAACATCTCTCCGAGGAAAGCCACCGAGATCACAGTGGCCGAAAAGAATGCAAAGAAGTTGGGGCTTAGCCAGTGGTTCATGCCGGGGACTTTATCTTTCTGGACATCTCTAAGAATATTTTCAAATGGTTTCGGTCGATTCGGGGAGGCGGGCTCGGAGATAACCAGGTTCAACTTGACTAAGAACTAGGTAATTCTCAATGTTCTTGTAGTAATAGGTGATAAAATCCACCATTTGATGGACTTTTTCGTGAAATTCTTCGGGGTTAAGTGGCTTGAATTCGGCAATGAGGGTAGTAGGAGACTGTACAACAAAGTTTGAATCAAGGCTCCCATTTGGAGATTGTCCAGAGTAAACGCAAGTTTCGAAATGGTGATGGTGGTAGCGGAAGTGGTAGAAGAAGAGGCGGCGGCAAAAGTGGTAGAAGAAGAGGTGGTGGTAGAAGAGGTGGAAGAGGCGGTGGTGGGGATGGTTGGGATTAAATATGGGAAGAGATTGGGGATGGCATAAATGAAGTTAGGGGGTGATGTATGTGAGACAAGTGGTGTTGGTCGTAGGATTTAAGTAGTAAACAACTTTGACTATTGTACACATTTTTTTCATGCATGGACATCTTGAAATCTTCCATGAATTCAGAATTCTTATGTTTTTGCTTTAATGGTGGCCTCCACTCAACCTTCACCGCTTGGTTTTGTTGTTGAATAAGGTACAACCTGTAATTTTGTGTACCTTCTTAGTTTGGGTACCATTACTTGTATAAAATTCGACTTTCACGGATGCTTATAATTTGTGAAGAATTATGTGTATTCGAGGATTGTGTTAAAAGTAATATTATTGGAATATAAAAAATTAATTTAATTTTTTGATTTAATAATATTAGATATACATTTTTAATTAACTAATTTCGTGGAATCCATTGTAAATTTTAACGTACTACATGGTCATGATGCTATTAAAGTTGAATATCTGAAAGTGTCATTAAAGGGAGAAAATCAAGTGTCAAAGTTACATCATTCACACTCCGGCTGCACATTCAAGCGTAAGACAAAGGTAATAACCTAAATGCAAAAGATGATCCTTTAGTTTATTTAACTTAGAAGGATTAAAGTTAAAATGAAATTAGGGATTAATTTGTGTATGACTCTTAAGTGATTTTTTTTTTTTAAAAAAAGAACTTTTTAAACCGCTTTGTATTTTGAAAACATAGATTAAGCTATTTGCGATTTCCTCGAGTCCTTTAGTGTTTAAGATGACAATTTATTTTTGCTTGGTTGTATGATTAAAAAATTAATAGGGACATCCCTATACTCGCTAGCTTTCGTTAGAGCAACATTTTTATGACTGAGGGAATAAAAGGGGAAGAGATTGCGGGATGGAGTACATGGCTCGTTCGAGTGGCCTTGACCATTACTCGAGTGGTCTCATAGTCGCTCGAGCGATCTGTACTTCTCAGTTTGATTTGAAACATGATTTTTATTTCAGTGACAACCTCCTCCTACCGATCAAGCGATTGTTCTTTTTAACCAATATTACCCTTATTCCAAACTTATAAATACTGAGGGTCTTTTCTTCAATTAAGGCAAGCCTCTAACAAATCTTTTGAGATAGAAAATTCATCTTTTACCTAGAGAGCTTCCTCCAAAATCCTAGACCATTAAGATCAAAGGCTACCACTAGATATTCTACCTAACCTCAGAACTTGGAGTTAAAGATTTTGATGGTTTGACAAAGTTATTGATATTTGCATACCGAAAATTATTAGCATGTCCATGATTGCTCGTGGCCTAGACGAACCGTGTTGTGGGGAGTCCAAGTGAAATTACGCAAGACATCAAAAAGGAACTTTTGATTGAGAAATTTATGAAGTAAATGNAAAAAAAGAACTTTTTAAACCGCTTTGTATTTTGAAAACATAGATTAAGCTATTTGCGATTTCCTCGAGTCCTTTAGTGTTTAAGATGACAATTTATTTTTGCTTGGTTGTATGATTAAAAAATTAATAGGGACATCCCTATACTCGCTAGCTTTCGTTAGAGCAACATTTTTATGACTGAGGGAATAAAAGGGGAAGAGATTGCGGGATGGAGTACATGGCTCGTTCGAGTGGCCTTGACCATTACTCGAGTGGTCTCATAGTCGCTCGAGCGATCTGTACTTCTCAGTTTGATTTGAAACATGATTTTTATTTCAGTGACAACCTCCTCCTACCGATCAAGCGATTGTTCTTTTTAACCAATATTACCCTTATTCCAAACTTATAAATACTGAGGGTCTTTTCTTCAATTAAGGCAAGCCTCTAACAAATCTTTTGAGATAGAAAATTCATCTTTTACCTAGAGAGCTTCCTCCAAAATCCTAGACCATTAAGATCAAAGGCTACCACTAGATATTCTACCTAACCTCAGAACTTGGAGTTAAAGATTTTGATGGTTTGACAAAGTTATTGATATTTGCATACCGAAAATTATTAGCATGTCCATGATTGCTCGTGGCCTAGACGAACCGTGTTGTGGGGAGTCCAAGTGAAATTACGCAAGACATCAAAAAGGAACTTTTGATTGAGAAATTTATGAAGTAAATGAGCATTTAACCATGATATTGATTGAAGTATAAGACTTAAGTATTTATAGATTGAATTTTGTGAGCAGAATTTTTCACATAAAAAATTGCTTGGTTTCATTTCGTTTATTTACATATACACTTGTATTTGTTAGCACACACGTGCACTATGTATTTGATGATTTGAATGCTTGACATAAGAATCAACCATAATTGTTGATGATATCAAAAATTAGCTAATGCTAAGCTCGGTCCAGTAGTAGATTGGGGGCTTACCCTCAATAAGGGCCCATGATATAATGCCTAAGTCGGAAATCTGGTTCCAGTCGAGACAACTAAGGTCGAGTGAATGAGTTGACCTCTCAATCCCTAGCTTCCCAGGTGATCATTCCAACTTAGACACCTCAGTTCAGACACCTCAGCTCAGATGTCACAGATAAGATGTCTTAGGTCGGATCTCATATCCCAGACCTTCCAGCTTGAGATTCCTAGTTCGAGAGGCATTGGTTTGGAATCGCCACCAACGTGAACCATGTGTGCACTACAACAATCATAGCTCACACCTTCTAGAGGGTCACGTCACACCTATGAAAAATGTAGCCTCTAAGGGTCAAATATTTTATCACATGGGTCCTAACAACCCCAAGAGAATCACGTTGATTACGCAAGATTGTGGCGGGTACGCAAGGATCACGATGATTACGCCAAGCTACAACACACTATAAATAGGGATCAAAGCCCTCACATTGTAATCAATCAAGCATAAAAACATTGACTCCCTGTAATTCTGTAGCCTTCTTCCTCAATTAATAGAAAATTTCCGCAGGAGTAAAAGACTTCATTAGAGTAGACTAACTAAACTTTTGAACTGGTGAACCACTGTAAATCTCCCGTCTATTAATTTATGCTCACAGCTATCATTCCAATGAACCCCATCAACAAATCCCTAATCCATTAACCTCTATCCAAACGCGCATAATACGCCATCAATTGTAATTGGTTTGAGTTTGGTTTTTGGGATCGTAGTGAGATTGATTGTTTGAGCAAAGTAATTAAGGGGTTTGTGGTGATTAAAAGAGGTTCTCATTATTCATTTTAAAATTTGTGTGAGAAAAGGTAATTGTAATAGATTAGATTATTATTGATGATTAATTGAGCTAAAATTGAAAAATATATTCATCCCCCTCTAGGTAAGTGTCGCAAGCTCCAAGCACATAATAGTAAGGGAAGATCCACTTCATTTTCCCCCTCCCAAAACACACATATATTGTGGCTATGATGTGATTGAAAAAAATTGTTGTGACTACTTCTCCATTGGAACTCTATTACTTGCCACATCTTTAAATCAATAAAGAATAATACTACATGAATCTTATTTAGTGATTTTATTTAGTGACATTATCATTATTTGTCATTAAATTGATAGTGGATCTCACTATTAATTTAGACTCATTATTAATTCAATGACTATAATCCATCATATCACCAAATAAAGTCACTAAATTAATTATAAACAACATTTTCCATCCATAAATTATGTTAATTTTTTAGGTCTAGTAACATTCCTCTTATGTTAATACCCTAAACCAAGTCGCTTGCGGCTCAAATTATTCCCCATTTAGAACATGGCTTCCAGTCAAATCCACTGCCTATTAGACTACTCCTGGTTGCATTCATTTCATGCCACAGATATGGAGTGAGACACTCCCCTCCCATTCATTTTGACCACTTACTTTATATTCTTGTGAAACTTAATATATATATATAAGTGAATCTTTGGTTTCCCTCTAGTGTTGGAACAAGTTCATGGGGATGGTTCATGATCAAGGACTCATTGGAGGTTCGATTGATTATGGAATAGGCGAGATATTTGAGCCATGTTGTTCCAGTTACAGGAGAAGAAAATAGTATTACATCAGTTGGAAGTGGTTGACAACTCCTAAGGTACCTGGCATGAACTGAGACAATAACCGGAAGCCATTAAATTGGCAGAGGTATTGATCTCCAAGCAATTTTTCCATTGGTAGGGATGAACACACCTCATCTGTGAAATTGAGGATCTACATAAGATTGAGTGGTCAAGAACAATACTTGAAAAGAGTATACTTGATACATGTAGTTAGACAGATAAATAAACTGTACTTTTTGAGTTCAAATTATGTACTTGACTATGATATCAAAAAATAAATATTGCGTATCGTATTTCTAAATTTTATAATTTTTATCACTTTTATTCGGTACAAAAGAAATTATCATTTTTGTTGACGATTTACTATTTTTGTGAGTATTTTTATGAATATTTTTATTACTATTATTGTGGTAATTATAATTTTTTATACTATAATAATGATAAAAAGACTCACAATAATTATAAAAATAATTATAGATATAATAAATGTCGATAAGATACATAAAGGAGTCCTCAAATTATATCCTCTTACGATACATGTTTTTTGAGCCATACTTGTGAATTTCACTTTTGTGTGTATCAATAATGCTATTGGGACTTATGTCTCAATAG